GTGTAAGAACATCTGCTCTGAATTATAAGGAGCTCACTTACAATTTCACCTTGGAAATATGACTTATTTATAAGATGGCACTACCTGTAATGGAAAGTTAAACTTCCTACATCATGGATATGTAAGCAGATGTGTTCTCATTCAAGCTTTGCATTCCTTATCTATGTTGGTCTAAATTAGTGAGGTGAGCCTGTCCCCAGAGTTGATATGTGAATACAGTGTGAAGAGAAAAACACTCCTTCTTCAGTGTTTCAGCCCTGTTTGCAGTTCCAGTCACACCTCCTCATGTTACTGGTAAATCAGTCAAGCTGCTGGCATGAGTTTGCAGCTCAGAACAAGGCAACTTGTCCCTTGCTGAGCTAAAAGGCAGCCTCCAGGCTCCTTTTAATCTGATTGTTTTAATTTGATTTAATCTGCCCAGTAAATATTTTTCCTCAGCTGCAGAAAAGTGTAAATCAACCAAGTAGTTCATAATCTACGTATACAGTTAACAGAACTCACGCTGGTTGACGCAATGGGAGTTGATTTGAGTTTGCTTTTTCCAGGCAATCACCACAGTTCCCCGCGGGGTTAGCATTTGATATGATGGTAATAACAGAGCACTACCTCACCCCAGTATTAACTCCAATTCATTGATCGGTTGCTATGTACTTGTAGCTTTCCGTTACCCTCATTATACTTGGGGAAGTAGGCATTGTTGTCCCCATTTTACAGATGAGTTAAATGAGGTGCAGAAAGATTGAATGCTGTGCTCAAGGTCTCCCCTAAGAGTTGGTGAAGCCAGCATTCAAACCCCAAGTATGCTCGATGCCAATACCTTTGTTCTTGCTATTATACTATCACCATTCTGTCTGTATAAAATGACACACACACAATTTTAACCTGTTCAGTTCTATGAGCTAACATCCTTGAGCTGACTCAACAGACTTGGCTGGAATTTGTTTTTTTTTTTTAATGCCAAGCATCTCAGAATCAAGATCAAATCGGATCTTTCAAATTTCTTCCAAAATTCCCACGGAGACACAGATGATGATAATTCAAACATCTACTAACGTTTAGTACTAACATGTAAATTTTATCCAGAACTGGGAGGCACTTGTGCAACTGTAAGACCATGAGCCTGTATAGAAGAACATCTTCTGAGGCCTGCTTCTGTGATGTTTCTAGGGAAACTGAAAACCTGCTCCCACTAAAGCAGGGAGGAAGACTATTTCCTTGTTCTACTATTGACCCATCAATCCAGAATAATCAAACACTCACCACAACTCAAGACCCCTCTGCTTCACAGGGGTTAGTGTTTGAAGCAACCAGGACAGGGATGACTGAGCTGTGGCCTCGGTTAGTAGGGGTGTAGTGATGGAGAAGGATGTGGAGAAGGAGTAGGAGGAATAAGTAAAAGTATGTTAAACATTTTACATGCAGGGAGAATCAAAGTTGACAGCAATAGTAATAACAGCAATGTATTGAGTATACACATAAAATGATTCCTTTTCAAGGACATGCTTATAAGTTTGTTTGACTCAGAGCTTAGAAAACTTAGCAAAGGAGTATTTCCTTTTTCCTTAGGGGATAAAAAGATTGATCTGAGGTAAAAAAAAAAATTGAGTTTGAGTCTCATTATGCTACTTTCTTTTTTGAGATAGAGTCTCGCTCAGTTGCCCAGGCTGGGGTGCAGTGGCAGTATCTCAGTTCACTGCAACCTCTGCCTCCCAGTTTCAAGCAATTCTCATGCCTTAGCCTCCCAAGTAGCTGGGATTACAAGCACCTGCCATCACACCCAGCTAATTTTTTTTTTTTTTTGGAGATGGGGTTTCACCTTGTTGGCCGGGCTGATCTCGAACTCCTGACCTCAAGCGATTCACCTACCTTGGCCTCCCAAAGTGCTGGGATTATTGGTGTGAGCCACCGCATCTGGCCTCATTCTGATCTTTACTAGTTATGTGACCTTGACAAGTCATTTACCTTTCATGAACCTCAGTTTACTGAACTGTCCAATAAGAATAATAATGTCCATTTTCAAAGGATGATGTAAGAATTAAATGAGGTCATACATAGAGTATGCATATCCTGGCATTTTGCTATCATTTAAAACTGGTAGCAATAATAATATTTGAGGCCTTGTTCTGGTATTACAATTGGGCCACAAAACAATTATTCAAGGTAAATAGAAGAAATAGACCCAGAGCCTGCACATGGCTACCAGTGCAAAGGCTGTATTTAAATTGAAATGATTATTCTAGTCCTAGTTAATGCTTTTTCAATTACATCTCCATGTTTTGTCTTGACTTTCTTAGACTGATAGATATATGTTTAAGAATATTTTTGAAAATCTTAAAAGTAATCATTAAAAGAATTAAAACCATATGTGTGCCTATTAAAGTTTGGGAAAATATAAAAGCAAAGACCTCCAACTTGAAAAAAGCAAAAGAAATATGAAATATACATCCCAAATATAAAGTACTCACACAGAAAAAAGGTGACAGAAGAATAACACAAATTAATTGTTAAATAAAGACAAATGAGTTTAACATTCTTATTAAAATACAGCCTCCTTTGGGGAACAAAAATAATATTAGTAAAACAAATGTCTGCTCTTTTTAAGGGTAAATCTTGAAACAAAATGACAGAAGAACAGATCAATATAGTAAGATGGGCAAAGATTTTTCCAGTAAATGCAAACACAAGAGCTTAATGTTGGGTAAATTGATTGTGTCTTGCAATTTTAATTTATATTCTGTCAGTTACAAATGAAGTTGGACATCTTTCATAAGTTTTCTAGTTCAATTTTTTTCTTATAAACTTCCTGCTCATAATTCTTCCTCAATTTTCTATTGTATTTTTGACTTTGTAACTGATTTATTAGAGTCCTCTATGTTAGTCCTTAATCGTATGTGTTTCAAAAAAATTTTCTCATTTGTCATTTGTCTTTGGACTTTCTCAAAACAGTTTCTAAATTTATATGCACAAAACTGTTTATTGCAACTATTTTTAATAGTAAAAACCTGAAGAATACTCTTCTATATAAACATTAGGGTCAACTTTCAACTTGCTTTTTTCACAAGAACCTCATGGGGTATATTAAAGAAATTGTATTGAAGCAACAGAATTATTTATGGAAAATTAATTTATATATGTTATTAAGTTTTTTCATTTATTTCCAAATATTTGTAGTTTCCATTAAAATTTGATCTTCAAACCACACACTATTTAGAATTGCTTTTTTTTTGAAATTCCGAATTTATGGGATTTTGGGGGAAGCATAGTTTATCACTTTTAATTTTATCAAATTTTGGTTACAGACAATGGATTTTGCCTTATAAATTATTTGATACTTATTGACATTTCCCTATTGATTAATACTGTATTAGTTTTCTATTGCTGCATAACAAATCATCCCAAACTTCATGACTTAAAATGGCACCCATTTATTAGCTCATATAGTTCTATAGGTCAGAAAACTGGCACAGAGCAGCTGGGTTCTCTGCTTATGGTCTCACAGTGCAGAAATTGTAGTGTCAGCTGATCTTGTCTGGAGGCTCTGGGAAAGAATCTGCTTCCAAACTCATTCTTGTTGGTACAATTCAGTTCTTTGTGGGTGTAGGACTGAGGTTGCCAGCTAACTCTGCCAGCTATCAGCTGGAGATTGGTCTCAGCTCCTAGAGGTCATTTGCATGAACAGCCTCGTGACCCCATCCATCTTTAAAGCCAGTAACAGAAAATTTCTTCTGTATCAAATCATCCTCATACTTTGAATCTCTGGATTGTCCTGTTTCTGACCTCTAGACCCAGTTTAAAGGGCTCATGGAGCTAGGTCAAGCCCACTTGGATAATTTGTCTATTTTAAGGTCAACTGACTTGGCACCTTAATTACATCTGCAAAATCATTTTACAGCAGTACCAATACTAGTGTTTGATTGAATAACTGGGTGTATGTATACTGGGTTTTGGGCTCTTTGAGGCCCTCTTAGAATTCTGCCTGCCATAGATCTGTGTTTGAAAAGACTGTATTTTATATATACGCTGTGTTCAGTGTTTCATGAACATCTATTTGATCAAACTTACTATGACCCTCAAATCTTCTAGTCTTTACAAATTGCACAGGTTTTAATGTGTCTGAAACAATGTTTACATTAATATCTTGACATTCGTGAAAGTAGTGTGGTCAAATCAGTGAAATTTAAGACTGAGAAATTAGTGCCATTTAAAACCTCCTTATCTACAAGAGGGACTTGCATTTTCTCTCTCAAATATATATATATATATATATATATATAGAGAGAGAGAGAGAGAGAGAGTCTACACAGCTCTCTAAGAACTTAGAATAAATTCCTTCCTATTTCACAGATACACCAGATAATGGTACTCTACTCTTCGGCATAGAAAGGTTGTTGCTTCACCAATTCCATTCTCCAATAACTCTAAAGCATCCTACAAGATCCTCTTCAGTCATCTCTTCATATAATACCTGACCTCCAACATGATATTACCTTATAGTCTTTCATTTATTTGTCATCCATTCTTCCTCTCTCCTTCCTTCCTTTCTTTCTTCCTTCCTTTCCTCCTTCTCATCTTCCCATATTAAGCTTTTGTTACACACACACACACACACGTTTGTGAGCAGGTGTGTGTCTGTGTGTGAATCTTTATATCTCCTCTTTTCTTCTTCAGCTATACTATACTGCCTATGGTTGGGTGTGAAGATTGGGGAGAAACATGTGTTTTAGGTTAACATTGTGTTCCTAGTATCCAGGACAGTTCTTATTCCATAGTGCTGTTCAAATATTTGTTGAATAAATAAATGGATAAATAGATAACTGTTTATAAAGTGTCCATGATGAGGCAAGGCTTTCATTCAACTATAATGACACTTAAAGTGTCATTATAATTTATAATTATAAATTATATATATTCATAAGTTTATATCTCTGCTTTCCCCATTTGTCTATAGAATCTCTCCACTGCTGCAGTCATCCTAGTCTACAATATCACCAATTTCTTACCTGGATTACTGTAATAGTCTTCTCAGTGCTTTTCCTGCATTCTGGTTCCCTGGCTTCAAATCCATCCTCCATATGGCAGTCAAAGTGAGCTCCTAAAACTGGAAATCACATTATTTCACCACTATGCTTAAAACCTTTTTTAAAAAATAAAGTCTAATCCTTTAAATTAATGTATAAGGGGTAACCATACATATCAGTTTGCCTGGGACATTTCTATTTATGCTTGCTATCCTAACATAAATCCTACTCCAATTGCCTAGATGCCAGTCTATGACCCATGGGTAAAATGCCTAGTTGTTTTGAGGACATCCAAAACTGGCTTAAAGATTTAAGTGGCCTGGCCCTTTTACATGTGCTTGGTATTGATGTGAATGAATTAGGGTTGACTGGGGATTGCATGGCCTAGAACTCTTTTTGGGTATGTTTGTTGTTTTTCAGCCTTACCTCTGCAAGAGCCTTTGTAACTGAGTAGCTGAATGATAGTAACACCCTATTGATTTTTTTAGCTGTCCCCAGAGTAGTCTTTGTTCACACACAGGGTGGACACCACTCATTGAACTCAATACATGTGAGCCACTCTGTTCAGCCTTGACAACATCCCTAAATTTTCCACTATGTGTTCTTCTAAAAGTTGATAATATTTTTGACATCAGTCCTAAATATACTGATAAGACTTATCAGTATAGTGGTTTATCTGTATATCTGTATCAGTGGTATACAGATATACCACTCATAGAACATTAGTGTAAGTGAAAAATCACACTTTATTTTTTTATTAGCATATTATTAGCATATGAGCACTGTAAGAATTTTTATTAAGACAGCAATCTTTCCCCAGTGCACATCATGAAACAGTCAATGCTTCCTTTGATCAAGGCTAGTACTTGAAAACATAACTCTTTGGACTTCACATGTCTGGTTATCTAGCAGCTAGGTAAACAATGATCAGATAAACAAAGATCAGTCTGGGTTGAACATATAGGGTGCAAAGTATTAAATTGTTTGTTGTGAATATAATTTCTGAGCAAGAAAATCATGCCTCCTTCCTTGAGCACTGGAGATTTTAAGATAGAAATGACATAGGTTCCTGCCTTATAAGACTTGCAGCTTATAAAAAAGATAGATTTTATAGACAAACATTGTGATATTCTAGAAAAAATGGCTTGTATGATGTCTGCCATACAGATGGCATTCAAATATGTGATACTTGAATAAATAAAATAAAGCATGCATGAGAGATTAAATAGAAGTACAAAGATTAAGAGAAGCATAGCAGAAAGCACTTTCTGCATGGGAAGTTAGCAAAAGCATCACAGCCATGGTTGCATGGAGACCAGCCTCTGGAGCTTATGTGTGAGCCGACTAGATGGAGAAGGCTAGAGAAGGTGTGCTGGGCAGGTGGAATTGCTTGGCAAATGTGTGGAGCTGTACTGAAAACAAAACCATGCATGGCATGTGCAGGAAATTGAGTAGTAGTTCAATCATCTGGAAAGGGTCCTCAAAATTTCATGGGTAATGTTTTATCAGGATGAGAAGCAATGGCTTTGACAGCACTGATGTCCATTATACAAGTTGATCCTGCTTCAGAATGTAGGCTATTGATATTTCTCCCTGGTCCATGCAGAATTTTACGACACACAGTTATCACCTTCACAAAAGCAGCTACCCTTGTTCTTGGAGCACCTGGTCCATAGGACTGCTAGACCACAGGTACTCAAAGATGTGCTTTCCAAGATCATTGTGGAGCAAAGGGCCCATCCTCCCTGGTGACTGTGGGTGCTATTGGCTCTGGTTACTCCTAGCAAATTTCTCTTTTCTCGATGCTCCTGGATAATATATAAGAACCAAAACTAAATGAGAGAGAGTGTGCGAGGTTGTTTGCCTGAGGCTAAGTCTGTGGCGCCTCCCTACTTCTTTGCAATGTTTGTTTATAAGGTCATGTGAGGCAGGATGGCATAAAGGGAATGCTACTGAACATGTGGGTAAATCTAGGATCTGAATCCCAGCTTGGTTCGTGGCTAACTTTGTGATCTTGGGCAAGTTACTTCTTTTCTTCGAATTTTGGTGCAGAAGCAATTTTTCAGGTTGCTGGTAGCTCTAACAGTTTAGGACTGCATCATCCTACTGTGTCCCAGGTTGTCAGAATAACCAGGCTTTTTAGATGGTGGAGTCTGAATGGAGAAACAAGCAAATAACAACAACAACAACAACAAAAACGTAAGGAAAGTTTTATGGGCAATATCTTATCTGGGTGAGGAAAGTAATGGCCTTGATAGTAGTGCTGACCATGATTCAAGCCAATTTTTTTTCCCCTAAAACTACAGTATTAATAGCCCAGACAGACCACTGAGTGCTGGTTAGCTGGGAGTTGGAAGAAACAAGAGCTGAGGTAGATGGACATAGTCTGATGCCATAGGCTCATCTCTTCTGAAGCTTTCACACAATCTCAGCCATCAAAGCTGTTTGCCTTTGAGTGAGAAGAGCCCCCTCTCTAGGGGGACTTCTATTTGCTCACTATGTCCCAGAAAGCAAGAGAAAAACAAAAGCAGTGGGGCCACTCTTTGCTAACCCCTTGCTAGCACACCAGTCTTAGGAGTGTCAGAGTCTGATAGCTCTGGTCTTCTTAGAGACTGCTTTAACAGAAATACCTCATGGCCTGGGCAGGGCGCAGTGAACTGCAGCATTTCTCTGAGGGAAAGAGAAGGGGCCTCAGAGCTCCAGTATCACATCTAATAGAAAAATGTTCTGGGTGTGACGCTGTGTAGGAGGACTTGATTCTGTGAGGGAGCCTTATGAAAAGATACACAGTCTAACCAAACAAACAAAAAGGTGGCAGACATGAATGTATTTCCTGCCACATTTTACACAACATGGAGGTACTGCCTGCCACATTTTACACAAAGATGAAAGTTGATTTTGAGAACACAAAGATATTACAGTAAATACTTTCATCTGTATAATAAGAGTGAGAAAAATCATTAGAGTTATGTTTGTCTCTCTCACTCTGTGTGTGTGTGTGTGTGTGTGTGTGTGTGTGTGTGGTATCTGGCTACTGTACTTTAACAATAATTCCTCTTGACATCATACAAGGTCAGCAAGTCACCTCAAGACCACCCTGCTTGAGGGTTTGCTTTCCACACAGGGCTGCATGGGCTCCCTCAGCTGAGAAATGTCACCCAGCACCTTTCATATTTATGGTGACTCATAAACAGGAAACCAGTCCTGTCCATGACATTGTAACTTTTTCATATCTCAAATCCTTTTATGAAAATGAAAACACACACACATGCATACACACACACACACACACACACACACACACACACACACCCCAAACAAAACAAGAGAACTTAGCTGCCTTCTGCTTTCTGGGCCAAAATAAATATTGCCAAATTAGTAAGGCATACTGAACAAATTAAGCGCTAAATGCAAATTTATCGACTGAAATCCAATGGCAGAGTCACCAAAGAGCTTATAGTGGTGGAGTGCAGCCCTGTAAGTAGGTGTTTGTGTTGGCGAGTCTCTGCAGAGGGACATGGGAACAGTAATATAAAAAGAGAGCATTTCTGTTACACCCAAGATGAACAGTTTGTTTTAGAAAGTTCAAGTAAACAGTGTCTAACATATATTCACTGAATTTAGAATCTCAGTTGTTAACAGGAGAGGGATGAAAAAAATAAGCTGGCAAAAAATTTTAAAAAACATCTCATTTGGAAATGTTCAAGTCAGCATCATAAATCATCTGATGAGATGGAGATGTTCCTCCTCATCTCTGAGCCATGAATAAGCCTCAGCAGTGCTTCACAAAGGCAAACAAGAACTTCTCCCTGAAGGATATTTAAAACCTTACAAAACAAGGAGAAGATTTATTCCAATATTTTCTAATGTCCCAAATGGAATATACATGATCCTTTAAAGTTATGGGCATCATTTATGATGTCAAAGTTTTAAAAGTTGTATATGTATTGCCTTGTTTTGATGATTGATTTGGGAGGGGTTGAGGTAGAGAGTGGACATGTTTGTAAATGTGATCCTGTGATCGTGGACTCAATGACAGCCCTTCCTACACTGTTCAGGTTCTCTCATCTACTTTATTGTGAAATACCCTAAGATGCAGAGAAACTCAGTAAGAATTTGCATTAGATGTTTCTTCTTTAGCAAAGAGTTTCCACTTGTCTCTTCTTTAAAAAAATTAAAACAGAAGAAGAATTGAAGACACCATGATTCAGAGAAGTCTTTTATCATATACTACAAATTGAGAATAGAATGGGAACAGCATAGTATGTCAAGCCTAGAAGGATGTTTAGAACACTTTCTTTAACAGAGGAAATATCTGTGCCAGAGAAAGTTCTAGAAGATTATTTTTATCTGCTGACTCTTAACCAAAGTTCTTTCTACATACCAATCTCCCTTCAAACACAGTTATTATTTAGAGGTTTTTTCTGTAGATAATGTTCTCGTCCTACACAGAGCAACAGAGAGTAACAGAGTTAAATATCTCCTTTTTCATGCCATGTTTTGTCACAAGAAAATCCAGTGGCCTTTTTCTGTAGAGGAGGAAATCAAGTCTAAACTCCTCAAGCAATTTGCATTTTGAGGATACTCTTGGCCTTTGTTGGCCAAGACAGAAGACAAGTTTAGAATTGGCAGTGCCGGGAAGATGGCAAGAAAACTGTGAAGCAGAAAAAAGCTCAGATATAACAACTTAAGGAAGGGAACTATATTAATATTTAGTGGGTGGGAATAAAAGTGACTTAGACATTATCTTCCCCAATATGACATTTCCTAAGAAATCAGCTAGTGTTACCTTTTTAAAAGTTAATTTATATTTTTTAAAATTAACACATTTATATTTATTTATCATGTACAACATAATGTTGTGAAATATGTATATACTATGGAATGTCTAAATCCAGCAAATTAATATATATATTACCAACATACTTATTATTTTGTAGTGAGAACCCTTAACAACGAGTGTTACATTTTTTAAAGTGTCCAGAGAGTCAAAGAATGAATTAATTTATTTGCATATCACAATTTCAACAAACTAGAAACCAACTAACCAACTATAATCTATAATAAGCAGCAATACCTTCAGTTCACAGGCTCACACAGCAGAGCAGACAACCTTGTAGCTTAATTTACCCGTGACACCCGGGATTCATCTTAGATTTCGTTCTTGATCAACAGTCTAAGTCAATAAACATCCACACACATACTCAGAAACCTCTCCCTAGGAGTTCAGGAAAAACTTGAACTACTAAAAAAAAAAATTAAAACAGAAGTTAAACGAAGTTCTTTTAAACTGATTTAAATGAGAAGTGATATAAAAATAAGCATAGTGATTTTGTTAATAATTATACTCATTAACAATATGTAAATTTCTTGGTGAAAATAACCAAACTTTATTGTTATTGCAGTTCAATTCTCAGTCATGTCTCCTTCGGTAGAATATTAAGCTAGGACCTTGCGTGGCCCTGGTTCTTGGTGTAGAACCCACAGCCATCACCTTAGCTAGGTGGCCAATCCCTCCTCTCCACCTGAGCAAGGCAGCTCAGAGTGTCAGTCTGCTCCAGAATTGACCTGCTCCACCATCAAAGGATTGGGTGCTCCTGTCCTGCAGAAGATACAATGACTGTCATCTGTTGGTTAGTGGCCAGTTTAAAGCAACAGATGTCT